AGGGTCCCGAGCTCAGCCCTGTTTTAGGGGTTGGCCCCTTTTCTCGGTTGGCTTCGGACTTCCTAAACTGGACCTACTGTGCACCTGTCCGGGACACGGCGCTCACCCTTCTGTCCTGCTCGCGTTTTATCGGACAATTCCCGCAGCGCTACGGTAATCTCCGAAATGCTCGATTTTTATAGTTTCCCTCCCAAAAGCCAACTATAACAACTACACCCTAATCCTCGGCTTTGCACTGACACTTTATAGGCTCGGCCTCGAGAGAAGCTCGGTCTCTCCCTACGCTGAACTTGTTTTGATCCATTCAGACAAATATAAACACCAAATTCATTTCTGTTATGGCCTTGGGAGGAAACAGAGAAGGCTTCTCGGACCCTAAAACACTAAAAATGGAGTAGGAAAGAAAGAACGAACAGGAAAAAAGAACGAACAGGAAAAAAGAACGAACAGGAAAAAAGAACGAACAGGAAAAAAGAACGAACAGGAAAAAAGAACGAACAGGAAAAAAGAACGAACAGGAAAAAAGAACGAACAGGAAAAAAGAACGAACAGGAAAAAAGAACGAACAGGAAAAAAGAACGAACAGGAAAAAAGAACGAACAGGAAAAAAGAACGAACAGGAAAAAAGAACGAACAGGAAAAAAGAACGAACAGGAAAAAAGAACGAACAGGAAAAAAGAACGAACAGGAAAAAAGAACGAACAGGAAAAAAAAGCAGAAAGAAGAGAAAATGAAAGAATAGAGAGGAGAGAAGCTGAACGTTCAAGTCCGTAAAGGACACTCAGACTTCTGGTTTGCAGCTCGTATGTGTCATTTTTAGCTCGGGTTAAAAACACAGCTCCTCCGCAAGGGGGGATAAACAACATTGAAAGGGGAAGACAAATCTTTAAATAGCATCAAAATACCCGAGCCCCATGTGAAGGCTTCCCCCAACCCTCCGCCCGCCCCAAGGAGAACAGTCCTCCTCACGTGAACCACAATTTCCCCACTTCTGCACCATCCAGGGGATGGTGGGAGGGGATGGGGGGAAAGAAAGAAAGGAGGGAGAGAAAAGGAGGTGTTTGGATCCGTATCCCCAGCCCCCGAGGCTTGGCAAAACAAAAAACCAAACAAAATGAGTTGTTCTTTTTATTTACCTAATCCCGATCTGTGCTCCACCGCTGGCAGCAGTTAAAAGATCCTGGGCTAAATTGGAGCTGGTAAAATAAAATAATAGAAAAAATAATAGGGGAAAAAAAAAAAAAAAGAGGTTGGGCTAGGTCAGTGTCAGCAGAGCTGGCCCTGGGGGGCACAGCTCTCTCCCCACCCCACCCCACTGCTCCTCCAGCGGGTACAGGCAGATCCGAGCGAGCAGCGGGGCCAGGTGTCCAGGTGCTCGGGCTGATGGAGACGGAGGTGCTCTCCTTCCTCCTGCTCCCGGCGCCGTCTGCGTGTGCCGGAGTGCAAACGCGGCCGGGAGCAGCCGAGCTCCGACTGAACCGA